GTGGTCATGTCTTGTGGAAGGGTGTTCAGTGCTGAGGGGTTCCTGGCAGTGGCGGCAGGTTTATATAATTTTTGGTGGTGCCCAGAATGGGTCCAAGTCCTGCCCCCTCCCCCTCCACCTGCCTAAGGCTCTGGGAGGGAGTTGGGGTGTGGGAGGGGTGCGGAGGCAGCACACAGAGACACCCCAACCCTGGGGCCGCAGGGACGTGCCGGCCGCTGCCGGGAGTGGTGCGAAGCGAGGGTGGGCAGGAAGCCGCCTTAGCCGCACTGCGCTGGCGGTGGTGGTGACGGCCCCTGGGCCCTTTTAAATCACCTGGGGGTGGCAGGCGGGGCTGGGAGATGATCCGGCGGAGGCGCACAGTGGCGGCAGGTGGGGACGGGGGACGGACCCAGCCCCGAACATTGGTGGAGCCAGGCCCTGAATATTTCTGGAGCACGGGCACCACGGGCCCATATAACTCGCCATTCCTGGGAGGCTGGGAGTGTGGTGGGGGACTGTGTATGGGGGTTGCAGTCTGTCTCTGAGGAGAGGTCAGTTTCTGGGCTAGTCTAAGAGTGGGACTGAGACCATAAATGCCTCAATGTCGTGCCTCTTTTCTGCCACCCTTTGAGCTCAGCAGAGTAAATGCCAAAGGTGAAATACCGAGGTATAAAATGACTATTTATAAGAACAGTCATACTGGGTGAGATCAATAGTCCAGCTAGCCTAGTATCCTGTCTTCTGGCAGTGTCCAGTGCCAGATGCTTCAAATGGAATAAACAGTACAGGAAAATTTTGAGTGATCCATCCCTGTTGTCCAAACCCACCTTCTGGAAGTTTTAGGAGAGCCTACAACAGGGGGTTGTGTCCCTGACCAGCTTGGCTAATAGCCATTGATGGACCAACCTCCATGAATGTATCTAATTTTTTTTTTTTTTTTACCCAGTTATACTTTTGGCCTTCACAACACCCCCTCACAACCAGGTTCCACAGGTTGACTATGTGTTTTGTGAAGAAGTATTTCCTTATGTTTGTTTTAAACCTGTTGCCTATTAATTTCATTAGGTGACCCTTAGTTCTTGTATTATGTGAAGGCGTAAATAACACTTCCATATTAACTTTCTCCACACCATTCCTAATTTTATAGACTTCTGTTGTATTTCCTCTTTGTCGTCTCTTTTCTAAGATGAACAGCCCCAGTCTTTTTAATCTCTCCTCATATGGAAGCTTGTTTCATACCCATAATCATTTTTGTTGCTCTTTCCTGCATCTTTTCCAATTCTAATATATCTTTTTTGAGATGGAGCGACCAGAAGTGCACACAGTAGTCAAGGTTTGGGCTTACCATGTATTTATATAGTTGCATTATGGTATTTTCTGTCTTATCATTTATTCCTTTGATAATGGTTCCTAACATTCTGTTAGCTTTTTAGATTGCTGCTGCACATTGAGTGGATATTTTCAGAGAACAATCCATGATGACTCCAAGATCTCTTCCTTGAGTGGTAACAGCTAATTTAGATCCCCAACATTTTCTTTGTATAGTTGGGATTATGTTTTCCAATGTGCATTACTTTGCGTTTATCAACACTGAATTTCATCTGCCATTCTGTTGCCCAGTCACCTAGTTTTTTGAGATCCCTTTGTAACTCTGTGCAGACAGCTTTGGACGTAACTGTCTTGAGTA